GGGGGGGGGGTTCACCAGGTTGCTTCCAAACATACAGTAATTGTGTAGAATGTGTATTCCATTGAGATAGCAATTGTGCTATTGTAGCTTTAAAATATCACTCTTCTTTCCTCTGTATATGTGTTTCAATACTTTAATGTAAGAAGTGCCATCAATTTGATACTGGCTTGATCAAAATTTCTCTTTTTTCCATTTACTTGGTACACCTAAATAAAATGGGGATTTTAAATTAGGTTGTAGAGAGTTAGACCATTGGTAATAATGAGGTTTGGAATTTCTCAGGATTTGGGGAGTTCTAGTGAATGATTGTTATTATTCACACACAGCCAGATTGAAGGGTAACTGGATGAGATGCACCCTCGGAAGGCAGGAAGGGCATACACACAAGTTAAAATTATCTGCTTTAGGGGTGCGCACAACTTTTCTTACTAATGGCGTCTGATCCGCAGATGGAGCTGTGGGAGGAACATATATTCAGCATTTATTTCCCAAACATCTGCAGTGTTCTATACGCTCTTACAGGTCCTGTGAATACAACACTGAATAAGGCACAGACCTCTGTTTCTGTTACATTCTAGCATGGAGCATGAAAAAGTTCAGAAAGATTTGTGGACTATTAAAACAATTTGGTTAATAATTAAGAATACGGGAAATAAGAATTTTATTCAATACAGCTTTGAGTCCATATTATGTAGGGCTAGAGAGAGCTCTAAAGAAATAAGAAGAAATAAGAAAAAAAGAAATAAGAAGAAATAATAAGAAGAAAAATAATGATCATCTGTATCACTGTTTATGATGGAGCTTGCCAGCAAATAATAGAACCAGTACCTACAAAATTGCTTATCCAAGACTGAAGTTTCTCTCTCATGTGGAACTTGTCCCAAGTTAGATGATCCAAGTCAGGGTGAAGGCTTGGCCACGTCAGGGGCTCACTCATGTCTTCTCAGGTGTTCCGCTATTCCCCACACTGCCCATTATATCCAATGCTATATCCAGTATCACATTTGATATGAACAGTGGTTCTTAACCTTTGCTGATTACCACATACACCTAGGGAAATTTAAAAAAATCTAAAAACTCCCTAGACCCATGTGCTTTCCGGACATACTGAACCAGAGTCTCTGTGGGTGGGACCCAGGCAGGCATCTATAGTTTTTAATGCTTGCCAGGTGGTGCCAATATGCAGCTAAGGCTGAGAACTAGTGATGGGAAACTTAGTTCTGTGACTGAACATTGCTGCAAGGGAGGTTGGGAAATTCGGTATTTCAGCTGGGTAGCTGTGAGTCCACGTACAGATGGGACTATTGGGAGGCTACCGGCACTCTCTGTCTCAAGGGAAAAAAGGAGATTAACTCTCAGAGATTAACTGTGGGAGAAACATCAACCTTGCGCACGTGCACACTGAAGGTGAGTTGGTTGGGTGGGAAATTAGAGACCCAGAAGAGGGGAGGCTAAAGAGAGAGTCCACATATTCTCGTATTTGTAAATAGCATTAGTTGTCTGGACAAACTGATGGGGCTGTAATTGCTCTCTCCTTTATAAAAATCAAAGACTCCATAGAATAGGCATAGAAGTGAGTAGAAAGCGTATTATCCCCTTGGACATAGTAGCAGTGGCTCGTATTATATGACTCTGGCAGCTTGGTGGAATGGCGTCTGCACCCCGATCTGCCCCTTAGATTATAACCCTCTCACTCCTTTCTATGCTCTGGATAAGAAAAAAAAAAAAAAGAAAAAAGACTAACGGTGGCCACTAAATGGTGATGAATTACTCACTTGGTTGCCTCATTTAAAAAAACCAATCACTGAATCAATGTTGTAAAGAAATAGATTAAAACATTAAGATTCTAAAGAAGGCTTTTTAGTCTGAAAACAGTAACACAACAAAACAAAAATGAAATCCTAAGCATGTGTTTTATTTTAGGTACAATATGCCATTCAAAGCTCAGATTCAAAAATGGGTGCAGTATCTTTCCAACTCAACAGACATCATCGAGAGCTGGATGACGGTGCAAAACTTGTGGATTTATTTAGAAGCCGTCTTTGTGGGAGGAGACATTGCCAAGCAGTTGCCCAAGGTTTTGGAATTTTCTTGATAATGTCATCAGGGTTTTCAATTACAGAAAAAACTAGGAACTGATACTCCCTAAGGAAAAGCCATAATATTTCAACATGTATTGAACCCCTCTCCCCCAACTTCTGTTGTCACTGGTTATGCTGTTACCCTTCAGAGGGAGTGAGGAATTGGAGGAAGGGAAGGAGTGACAATTAGGGAGCAAGAATGCTCCAAAACCACGAGGGTTGATCAGAAATGGAGTGTTGGGAGAACCAAGGAGGAATGCCTGCGTAATTGATAGGCTCCTCCAGATAATTTCAAGGTGGAATTTGGAAGAGTATAGAATTATGCCATAGTTACCTTGACAATGGTGGGATAATTTTACCTCTACTACTGACATTTTACAATAATGAATGCTGTACAAAAACCCAATTATATCTGTACTATAAAATTGAGGGGTGGAAATATGCAGGAAAAAAGCTCCAACCCCCGCCCCCCCAAGATGTTGAGTATAGTTTTCTCATCTAATTGTAGTCATCCTACTAGTTATATATGGAGTATATTTGGAGAGTTGTAAATAGACATTGTAGCCAATTTTCAAGGATTCTTATTCAATTATTTTAAGTTGTTTGCAAGATTTGAATGTTTTAACGATATATTTGAGTTTTAGAAGCCTGGTGCCATTAAATGTTTTCTTCATTTAGTTTTCTTTTCTCTTTGGTTACTTTTCAGTTCATTTATAGAAGGCAGATCTGTTAACTGTAAGGTAGACAATTTGTAAAGTTTTTCTTTTTTTTTTTTTGCCAACAGTGAAATGTATTCACACACTAAAATCTATTCATTTTCTCTTTATATTCATGTGTATTTTTCTTCTTGATGGCTAGAGAAGAATCTAAAATTTGACTTAATGGACATGTCCACATGGAATATTTAATAACTGAGTAGAATTTTTGCTGTCTTATTTGGTAGGAGATGCTCATCAGTAACAGAAAGTTTTAAGGAAGAAAACATTATCACTATCCTTTCAAGATAAATCTGTTCAATTTTCCATTTTTTCTTAAAAATAATCATTTAAAATTTTATTATTGTTAAACTAGAATTTTATATCCTTATTTTAAAATGATTTTTCTAAATAAACAATCCAATGCTTAGTATAACAAACATAAAAATAGAAACTATCCCATTTAGAGATAACCCATGACAACAAATGAGTGTCCTCCCACAAATGAGTTCCTCCCATATTACCTTGTAATGTGTTATTACTTTGGAATTGGTTTCTTGTTTTTACATAATGCGATGAGAGTACCATACTAGAATTGAGCTAAAGATTCTTAATAAAGAGGATGACACAAAAGAATTTCAGTAGATGGGCGCGGTGGCTCATGCCTGTAACCCTAGCACTCTGGGAGGTTGAGGCAGGTAGATTGCTTGAGCTCAGGAGTTTGAGACAAGCCTGAGCAAGAGTGACACTCTGTCTCTACTAAAAATAGAAAAACTAGTT